TAAATACTTTTATATTCTATTTCTATTTATAAACCAAAATATTACAAATATAGTCTCATCCTTTCCTTAACTCTAATTCTTATTGTAATTTTAATCCTAAATCCAAAACCAAATCTTCAACCTTCAAAATACTCTCTCAGTTAGTGGGGATCTGCAAACACACACACACACTCACACACACACACACACTCTGCTCTGACTGAATATTTGCCATTAAAAATACACCTCAATAGCCAGGGCCAAAATCATAGGTTTTCTTTGGATCACTGGGTATAAAATATTTAAACTTTTTTTTTTTTTACAAAGATGACACGGACTACAGTTTGCAAAGTAATTTTTTGCTCCAGCGCTCCTCAATTTATCTCATAACCTCCTTTTAGCTCTGACAGTGTTTTTGCTCGGAGCCAGGTCTTCAGTTTACTCCACAGATTATCCTTTAGATTCATAACAGACCCATGTCCGTGCTGGTCAATACAAATATGCTGTGTTTAAGTGCTAATAACAACCAAAACAAATCTTTACTAACAGATTTGATTTCTTCATATTTTGGTCTCATCGATCACCATCAAGATTCAAAGTTCTGGATGACTGAAGCCATCACTCTACTTTCAAACTGTACCCAACAAACTTGGTGTCTTGGAGGGTTTTTTTCATGGTCTACAACGTCAAGGTTTGTTCTTTTGCAAACTTCTGCGACTTTCTCTGGAATAATCTATTGACCTTGAAGGCAGTTCTTCTGTCTTTAGATGTCTAGACATTCTTTAAACTTTTTTAATTATTGTTATTAGCGACCTTCAGTTCTTTGATTTTCTTTTCAATAATAGCTCTTCCTTTTTTATTTTTATTTTTTCAGTCTAAATAGTGCTCTTTTGTTCCCACCATTTAATGTGATTGACAGATCACACCATGGTTTTCAGCTTCGGTATAAAGAAAAAATATGACTTTGTTTTGCAAATCAGGTCAGTTTTTTTTTTATTTCAGTGAAACAAACGATATTAGTCCATAGTTAATTCTCTACTATTTGCAAGTAAATCACAAATATATAACATCAATTATTGTTTTATTATTATTGTTTATTTTTCAATATTAATTTTAAAAGAAGCTCAGAATAGCCGTGACATTTTTTTGCTTCTTTACTTAAAAATAAATCTGTTTTCCTGATTTATTAAGTTTGACTGATTACTCGCTCTAAATAACAGGGTTTCAAAAATAGCATTTATTTATTTATGGGGGTTAATTGAAAGATGTGGAGCTTTGTCATGTTGCTGTTGTTTTAATGTAAATATCAAGTAAGAATCGTGTCATCATACACATTAAATCCACTGGTGATGCAAGTAGTGTTTTCTGGAGATAACTTTTTTTTTTAAATGGCACGGAGGTGGTGAGGGAGGAGGAGCATTTTTATTTTGTCTTTTATGCGTTTTTTCCAGTTTTCCCTCAGGCTAAAAACGAACATCAGAAAAACCTTTGACCAAGTACTGACATCCATCCCGCCCCGGCAGATGAGTCTGACAATGAGACATAAAAGAGAGTCTTTACAGAGCAGACAAGATGATGACAAACAGAACCAGCCGTCTGTGACTCCATCCGTGTGAATAGATGGGAACAAACTGGTGCACGAGCGTTTTCTCACGTTCATAATTTAGCCTTAAAGTATTTCACTGCGGATTTTTACCTAATGGCAGCATTAAAAACCATTTCTGTTTCATCGCTGGGAGCCAGGAATTATCTCTTTCGCTGGAAGACTAATCATCTCTGTGTGATTGGAAGCTGAAGGTTAATGTGAGCTCTCGCAGATGGAGGGAGGAGGATGAAGAAGGGGTGAGGCAGACAGGGCCAGACAACGCCGTAGAAAAGCACAGGTGGGTGGATTTACGGAGGCACAGGGGGGAAATAAGTGGTTAAGAGTCTGTCGATGGGGGCAGGCTGAGCCTCATTACACATGTAAATGCAGCTTCCAGCATGGAGGCCCCGCTTTAAAGCCTCCATTTTTTTCTAATTAATTCTTTGCTTTGCACATGATAATTGGGTCCAACATGGCTGCAGGGCTGATTGACTTTGTAAGTAGAATAAAACAATCGAATGACTTTGGCCATTTTTAATGGCCGACTGGTGGAAGAAGTTGGACTGGTGCTGAAATGTTTCAAACACACATCAGGCTGATTTGTACCAGCTAATGATGAGGGTCTCCTTAAAATGTAGTGGTGAAAACAGAAAAGTGGGGGAATAAAAATGTAATTTGGAGGTCGGCTAAGTGCTAAGATGTTCTGAGCGATTTAATTTTAAAAACTTAAGAACTGCAAAGAGCAGCTTTTGACAAGTTGTATCATTGTAACTTTTGCCAAGCCTTAAGCTGCACTATGTTTTGTTTGATCAGGTTTTTCAAACTTTCGAAATAAACAATATTGAATTTTAACCAAACTTAAACAAAAACATTAGAATTATTGATGATTGCAGTGGTTTGAAAGGAAGTAAAGTTCCATGTTTAGACCTGAAAAAGGAGATGGTTGCAACCTGGTGTCAACAACATCCTCCAGAAATCTACAGAGAGTAAATTTGCTGATGTAAAAAAACCACTGGAGAAGAGTGAGGACTTGAAATGAAAATATGTAGAGAAATAGATTTTTAAATTTGATTTACTTTTCCCACTCAGAGTCAGCCATGGCCTTATATTTGATATAATGTTACGATACATACAATGTTGGTTGAGAAGTAGTTTTAAAAAGGTTCAAAATTCAACAGAAGGACAGATTTAAATTCACTGTCTGTCTGGAACAGTTGGCTCGAGGCTGCCTTTAAAATGATAATTATAATTTAGACAAGGTTTTCCACATTTTATCATTTTTGTTTCTGTTCAAGTAAAGTTGTGCCAAGAACTTCACCCCCAAACCTAATGGAGACTGTGAGGAGAAATAGATTTTATATTTGTATAAATAAAGATTTTTTTTCTCAGTACTGTCTCAGTACTTTCAATTTCCCAATTAAATTGTTAGACTTCCTTTTTATATCGTATACATACAGCAGTGTGTTGTTTACATAGAAACAAACATGTATAATGCACACATTTATCATCATAGTGTGCTGTTCTTATCTCCACACCCTCTTTAATAAATGTCACGGGTAAGATACAGAAATGCATCATGATTTATTCAATTTTAACAACGCATTATAATGTGATGAACTGGAAACACCAGCACAAAAAAAAAGAGTAGTATGACATTTAGAAATGTTTATAGTGAGTGATCTAAATATTAACCAACCAGAGCGTATAAACCGCTCCACCTCAGATCATCTGTGAGTGCATGTGTTACATTTAGACTTTAATGCTACAGTCAGAGCCAGGTATCTTATATTTCCTGGGTCACATGAGGACGACAATAGCTTGACCACAGAACATATTTCTTCTGTATTGACACTGTGAGAGTAGGTCAAAAAATTCTAATAAAGGGGTTATCAAACATACAGGGCGTGGTCCAAAACTGGCCCGCTAGGGTGTTTGATTCGGCCTAAAAATAAAAAAAAGCCACAAAAATGGGTGGGGGGGGTGGGGGTGGGGGCAGTCCATTGCAGGGCAACAAACCTAAACATCGTGGAGACCTATAAATACCTTGGGGCTGTAGCTGGACAATCAACAATCTGGACTGGGCACACAACAGTAGGCAGTTGTATAAGCAGACCCAGAGTAGACTGTACTTCCTGCGGAGGTTTTTCAACATCTGCTGGAAGCTCCTGAAAATGTTTTACAGCCAGCGCGTGGTTGCCAGCGTTATTTCCTAAACTGTGGTGTGCTGGAGGAGCAGCACATCAGATGATCAGGAGCTCTGGCTCAGTGGTCGGCATCAAACCGGACCCCCTGGTGACAGTGGCAGCAGAGGAGAACACTTGGCATTTTTCAACATCTGCTGGAAGCTCCTGAAAATGTTTTACAGCCAGCGCGTGGTTGCCAGCGTTATTTCCTAAACTGTGGTGTGCTGGAGGAGCAGCACATCAGATGATCAGGAGCCATCAGATGGCTCAGTGGTCGGCATCAAACCGGACCCCCTGGTGACAGTGGCAGCAGAGGAGAACACTTGGCAAACTGCTCGCCCTCCTGGACAATGCCTCTCATCATCAACACACTGTCATCAGCAATCAGAGCAGCCGTTCAGTGGTGGTATCTCGAAATACTATGGTTGTAATACACTTCGTATTCTATTACATCTTGCAGAGATCTTGTTGTTCGTATTTAAACTGTTTATTTAAACTATTCATACTTTTCATATATTTATATTTAATTGCTTATATATACGTATACATACCATAGAGATACAGTAATGTGGTATCCATCCATCCATCCATCCATCCATCTAACATCCATCCATCTATCATCCATTCATCCATCCACCCACCCACCCACCTCTCATCCATCCATCCATCCATCCACCCACCCTTGTGGTATCCATCCATCCATCCATCCCCCCCCCCACCTCTCCATCCATCCATCCACACACCTATCCATCCATCCATCCATCATCCATCCATCCACCCACCCCCCCACCTCTCCATCCATCCATCCATCATCCATCCATCCATCCATCCACCCACCCCCCCACCTCTCTATCCATCCATCCATCCATCATCCATCCATCCATCCCCCCCCCCACCTCTCCATCCATCCATCCACACACCTATCCATCCATCCATCTGTTTATGAAAATACAGTATTATAGATGGAACACTTCTCTGAGTGTTGTTTACTGAAACCCAGTTCTTTCAAATATTCTTTTGACATAGGAAAAATAAATAGTTTCAGTTTTCCACTTAGTATAAGTTGAAATGTCCCTTCTGGGAAACTTGTCTTTTTAAGACCTGCCTTAATATCTTTTGGTTCTAAAAACCAAACATCTTTTTAAATGTAACAGTTCTGAAGTGTTGACGTACCCTCCTGCTTGTTTGTCAGTGTAAACACTCACAACATCTTTGCTCAGATTTGAGAACACACGTGAGTTTCCAAAGCTCACCTGGCCTGCTTTGGCATCTTCACATATGGAGGCTTCATAGGGCGTGGCCAGTTCAGGAGGATTGTCGTTAACGTCCAAAATCCGAATACTCACGGCGGTGTGTGAGGCCATGGTGTGATTATCTGTCAGAGAGACAGGAAAATACACAACAAAAGTTAGTTTGAAAACATGACATACACTTTCAGATCGGAGAAAATCAAAGCCTCCTCCTGACGCAGAGATTAAATTCTTGATATACGACCAGAGGTAGCGACTGTTTGAGATGTTTCTCAAACACACTGACACTTTTCCAGTTTTCGGAGTCTCACTTATGTGCATCCTTATGTGCAACAGTGTGGCTGTGCTTTTACTCTAATCTACACAGGTACTCATAAAACCCATATCCTGATTGCTCTTCACTCTTCAAACCAAAATGCATTTTTATGTTTGAATGTGATTTGCTACAGAGACGTTCTCTGCCAACTGAATTAAGCAGCAGTCATATGGACGAACAGATCGAGAATTAAATAAGCTGGTGATTCTGGCTGGTGATGTTTCAATTCTGCCATGTAAACAAGAAGTAAACAAGATTTAAAGACTTCACCAGCAGGGTTTCCACCGAGAGTGAGGAAAGAGGCGTTTAGATGCTGTTTTCCAAGCAATCAGCGAGTGGTTTTAAATTTAATTCCTCCTTAAATTGCTCCGATTGCATGAACAACACCGTGGCAGCGCTGAGTGACATGATAATGGCAGTGAAGAATCCATTTCTCTGTTGCCAGGTTCTCACCTTTTGATAACGACACCCCTGGATGTATCTGTTAAACGGCCTTATTGTGCATAATGCACACCTCAGTGGGGTAATCACAGTGACAAATACGTACTAACAGACTTGCGAAACAACAGTAGTAATTTTCTTTCACATTCCTTTTTTTTTTTTAACAAAAGATGAGCAAAAACAGCGCAGTAGAGACTGGTACTTGCTAATATGCAAGAATGTAAATGTGAAGTGGAGAAGATTATACAATTAGTCCAATTAAACCACACTTAGAAATGACTCGGACTCCTTGAATTTTAATTCCCACCCTTAATCATAGGATAAGGTCTGACTTTGTTCAACCGAGTACAAGCTCTCACAACTCCGAGTGAATCTGTGTGTGTGAGCGTGTGCGAGTATCCTAAGCGCCATAAATGAGTGGTGCATTTGCTTTAAGTGTTAGTATCAATATCCCTGTTAATTAAAATAACCCATCGTATGGTAAATCATCTGTCACCGCACGTACGTCTGGGTGGCAAAAATAAGTCACTCTGCAGCTACTCCCAATTAACCCAGTACAAAAATACCTGCAATTAGACAAACTTAACGGAACGAACTTAAATAGTTGTGATCCAGTAAATAAAGCAGATAGTTAAAAGTAATTCTTAGACTTATTTCGCAAGGATCCAGGAAAGCGCAAACATTCCCAAGAGCCCACAGGCTAAACACACACATTGCTAAAAAAAAACAACTTTAACCTTAAAGTGGGAATCTGCAACCACATTACCATGAAAGAAAAAAGTTTTAAAAGGCAGTTATCAACATATACTAAGAAAAAGTCCCTGGAGTTAGGCTGCTCACACACGTGACTGCAAACTTGGAAAAAGTTTGAAGAGTTAAAGCAGTTACGTAACACGTCTCATCCAGAACGACCTTAAATGTGTTGTTTAGTCCAGTACAAACAACCAAAAACTAATAATAATCACCTTACTGTCATAGGGGAGGGAAAACCCGGAAAAAATAAATCACATTAACCCTTTGATCAAAAATGACTCATGTTGATTTTCCATGTGATTTCATGCTGTGGTTTTTTTTGTTTCTTTTTTAATCTATGTACAGTGTTTTTTTTTTTGTTTCGTTTCTTTTTTAATCTATGTACAGTGTTCCCTCTCTATATCACGGTTCTTCTACCGCTACCTCAGTATATCGCAGATTTGTTTTTAATCCAATTTTGTGAAATTTTCACTATATCGCCAATTATAGCAAAAAACTAACTAAAAGTTGATTTTTCCCATTTCGCGATGGGTCTTTGAACTCAACTGCTGCCATAGAAGAGGGATCACTGCAATCTAAAAAGACCCAATTACCCAAATAGGATTTTGAATTAAATGACTTCACATTATAACATTAATTTGATTCATATAATGACTATAGCTGTGGTTCAATCAAACAATCACACATTTAGTAGTTTCTGAGTATATTTACAGATACAAATATTGTATTTACATTGACATGGTATATTCATCTGATAACAGATACTATTTATTATGAACTGAAATACCTGAATCTGTCATGTATCTGTTAAAATTTGGAAAATGTGACCAACTAAAACAGGCCTAGTTTACCTCGTTTTTCTATCTTCCTCTTTCTTTGGGCTTCGGAGCATGACGTTCTCCTATATGTTTTATTCTCCTGCATTCTCTCATTGCATCAGTAATATAAATATATATAATATATAGCAGGATGTTCCTCACGTTTAAGATCTACCTGAAACAACAAAAACTCTGCGGCTGAAGGCTGAAACCTGTTGACATCACTTTTGTTTCGATCCTTGCAATTTAGTCTTATTTTTTTGCCGTCTTCTCGGCTTTAACAAGAAGGAAAACCAACAATCACTGGAAGTTACACCCTTAACATTTCAATTTCCAGAGTTGGAAAACAGATGAAGTGATATGAGCAGGCCTCTTCTCCACGCATCCAAACAAAACTCTTCGGTGCGACAGCTTCATTCATCTGGACCGGGTGTTGTGCTGCTCTAAATCTGTCTGCAGATAGATGCGGAGAACACAAGGCTTTGGGCAGATTATCGGCATGCTCTGCCTCTGCCAGGAAGACACCAGCTGCTGCAAATCTTCCACTGTAGTGGATCTCTGAGACAGTGCAACACACTGACATAACTTCAGGGAAGACAGAGAGAGATTGTGAGACTGCCTGTGAACATCTTTGCATGCAGGCATGTGTGTGGGTTTGTGTCAGGAGTGTCATGTTGAACCAAATGGTTCATTTTCTTTCCAGGGAGAAAGAGTTTGGAGGGACATGTCACTTTTGGCAGGAAGGGAAAGTGAAAATAGAGCTGTGGCTGTGGCTGCCTTCACTCTCCATCCATGAACCTGAGGCTGAACAGAGAAAGTCACAGAGTGGAGCTGGTGTCGTAACAGAACTCCAGGGAGGGATGATACGTGAGTGTATTTGCTGGATAAAGATGCTAATGCCAACAGGATGACAATTTTCAGTCAGTTGTTTTCACCTCTGCCTGTTCAGTTTGTGTGCGGGGCAGAGTGTGCTCACTGAGACGCAAGTGTGGCCGGGCAGAACTGGAGCAAGAGTTGGGTGGAAAGGGTTAGGGATAGTTTGAACAAAAAGGTGAAAGAGATCAAACTGGAGTGGTGGAGGACATAGAAATGAAGCCAGAAATCCTTCAACAGGCAAGAAACAAAAGTTCAGCCCTGTGCTGTGGCCCCAAAGTCAGCGCAAAAATTAATTTTAGGACTCAAACGTTTGACTGCGCTGTAGCATTTTCAGTTGTCTTAGAGCTTTTAACACTTTGTTTCTAAAAAAAAGTTTTGTTCAAAGAAGCACTTTATCATTGTTGATGCGTGTTCCACACTAGCATTAGCCATTCATGCTAGTCACTAAATGAATTAAATTTAGTTGATCGTAGTTGATATTCACCCTGTCCAGAGACAGACATTAAGGTCTTTCACATTGTTGCAATAGTAGCATAACAAAATTACCCTCGCAACAATGCGAAAACAACAACGGTACCCATGGACAAAAATGTTACTGTCACCATAAAACCTCATTCTGATTAATCACTGATTCTGGCTACTGATTAACAAGTCTGACTGAAGCGTTTGTTTTCCACAAAATCGTTTCATTTTATATGAATCAAATATTTTTTCTTTTTTTCTTTTTTAAATATTTAGAGAAAACTCTTCTTTATTACTGTCTAAACAAGGTAACAACAAAGAGCAGTATTTCCATGAACGCTCACTTTGATTGCTATATTTTCACAGGTGATTAGGGAAATTTGCACCCACAGTCAAAAACCATCTGGGAAAGCAACTCATTTGAAACTCTGATAGAAATGTAATCAAAACAAATCTTCACAAACGGAGCACTTTCCTTTTTGTCTGTGTACTTGATTTTAATTATTTGGAAAGATTTGGAAATCACCCACACTCTTCATCTAATCCGAAACAACTCGATGTCAATTCTGTTGAGAGACTTATCAAACTTATCAAACAGTACGCAACTCCAGCAAATTGATGCATCTTCAGAGGGAGGGCTCTGAACAAACGCTGTAAACATCAGACGCTTAAAGAACTTCATCAGCAGCAACAATAAATCTTCAGACGGAAAGTGAATCATAATTGATTACCTTATAAAATGGAGTACACATCTCTCTCTCTCTCTCTCTCTCTATATATATATAAAATCCTTCTGTTTGGTCCCCACACTCGGTGGTGCTGTCTCGCTCACTGTCCCTTGCTGGGTTATTTTACCCATTTTTATAACAATGATATAAAATGTTTTCTTAAGTATTATTATTTTATATTATCAATATATTTGCTTATACTGTATATTGATAATATAAATATACGTTTGTGATGTTTAGATGGGGGATTTTAATTAAATTAATTAATAGTATATTTCTGCGAGCCTTGAACAAATGAATTGTTTTTTTTTTTGTTATTTTTAAAGGGGAAAATTCGATCTACAGTAGATACGAGTGGGTCGAGACAGGAGTGCTGTTGTGGAACAGATTAAACTCGTATCTCGGGGGTTCCACTGTATTCATATAAAGGTGCTGTGTGGGCAGGGATTGAACCTATGACCTTCTCCACTATCCTAAAAGAAACAAGATATAAGCGAGTTCTGACATCGTGAACTTCGCCCTCTTTGCTCTTGTCTGATAGAAAACAAACAAAACACCATTAAGCCACGGGTTTGAATTATTTTGATGCCAAAATACATTCAATAAATTGGGGTCAAGACTCTGGTGTTTAAGCCATGTGTTTAAAACCATTTCTCTGTACTTTTGAAATGTTAAAAAATAGAAGAAAAAAGTTTGTCCACATGGTTTTTTAGTGATTATAACCACACCTTACAGTGGTTAAGGAAGCGGACTTGGGTCCGGAAGGCTACAGGTTCGAGTCCACCAAGTTATCACTGAGGTGCTCTGAGCATGGCACCGTCCCCACACACTGCTCACCGGGTGCTTAAAGCTCACTTTGGTGATGGGTTAAAAACAGAGGTTCAATTTGGTTGTATCCCTGTGTTACAATGACAATAAAGACTATAATAATAAGATATAATAAGATGGTGAAAGGGTTGAGTCTAGATTCGATAACATTTTTGGTGTGAGATTTGTAAGTTTTGTCTGTGAGATTTAGGTGAAACAGAGAGTCTTAATTGGTCGTTGGTGTGAATGGCCGGAGACCTGTGCCCTATTTTTGCTCATATCAACGAGGATTCAAATCACCCCCAACCCGGCTTCACAGAAGCAATAAAACCAGTTACAATATCTCAAGGCTAACGCAGTGTAATTAGTAACCAGACTCTGTGTCTTAGTGCCACTGATTCCCTACTGGCGGTACGTACTGTCCATGCTGCATAAGCACTGTTTGACAAACTAATTATGTAAATCCACCAAGTGTAGGAACATATACTGTAGTATTCATGAGAACGGGTTTTCTGCTCCTGATTCTACTTCACAGCCATGCAGATAATACAGCCCAGGAGTAGGACTCTACTGCACAGCACATCGGTCAGGTTGTAACCTCTGATCCTCACCGTGCTGTCTGGGCTTTATCACCTGTGCGGTGGAGCTGTGTACTCTGTTAAACACAGAAGAGTAAATCCAGAAGCACATTAAGATGACCTCCGTCACTTTAATGGGGCGAAGAAGGTTTTTACAGCCGTGTTCATCTACAGAGACGCTAGCAGTTTTTATTTTTCCTGTCTTTTGCAAGTGATACAATATTACAATACACGGCTGTTAATAATGATAACGGAAATTGGAAAAGAAGTAACGGCTAAAGGTAAGCTTAAATGAAAACTACTATTGTTGGAAGAGCATTTAGGTGGTAATAAAACTGTAATTATTACCCCACACCAATAAACAATCATTTTCAGCTTTTTTACATCGGATCGACAAATTCTGGATTTTGGGGCCTAGGTGATATTAAACCTGGTGGCAGGTGAAAGACCTACCACTGGACTGATTTCAATCTTATGTTTTGTACAACTCCACCTGAGAGAGGCGCTATTGGTGCCCAATAGTAGTTTGTAGTAGTGACTATATACTGTAAGAATTGAATCATATTGTGCCAAAAGGTCAAGATACGTGCATTTACTCTGTACCAGAAAATATAATACCCCAACATGTGTCAAACATACAGCCCGCAGGCCAAACCAAAATATAATACCCTAACATGTGTTAAACATACAGCCCGCAGGCCAAAATCGGCTCGCTGGGGTGTTTAATCTGGCCCGCTTGATGAATTTTGAAACTAAAAAATACACTTCATGTTAATACATTTCATTGATTATTATTGTTATTTTTATTATTATTATTATATTTATAATAATAATAATAGTAATAATAATAAAAAGTATGTTGAATACTGTATAGAGTTAAAGTTGTCAGGCCAAAGCCATGAAACCATTTGCTATCTACCGATTATTAATATTTCAGTGGAATGGTGTTACTTCATTCCTTTAACTTCTGACTACACGAAAGAGTTTTTGAAAAAGTTAAGGTGTAGAAAAAAAAAAGTCTTTTGCAACAATGCAGTAGATAAAGACTTTCCAGATCCTGCCGTATCGTTCTGCCCTCGAGGCGACGGTCTTTTTTCTTTTTTTTTTTCAATCTACCTGTCTAAATAAGAAAGCAATTTTTGACACAAAATCATACTTGCTATCTGCTCCAGGAAATTATATGTCACTCTATCTTATTTGCTATACGGCACTCGTATGAAGAGGACTGTCAGGAAGGATCAGTTCTGGACTTGTGAAGGTGCTCTTGTACTAACTACGATCTGAAACGGATAAAAGAACGTGGAGAACTGGAGGTTATGTCATGGACCAGCACCTACAGGAGGTCGACTAAACACGTGCGTGTGTGTATGAATGTGTGCTGAAAATGTATAAATATACGTCGCAAGATGGTTGAAGGATTCTTCTTTGGCAGTATCTTAACACCCATAAAATATTAACACTGAATAATTTTTCATTTTCTCTTTTCTACTGCAATATTTGCACGCACAGCTCTCAGGACGTTATGATCAAAAATAACAGACACATTGCTAAGAGACTGCAGATGAAGATGACTGGCAATTTCGTCCGACTAAATATTTTCCAAGGAAAAGCCTTATCTGGAAAGTCCAGGCGTGTGTTTGTCTGATATTGGAGGGAGGGCTGCTTTAAAATGTTTAATTAACAGTAAAATGTGCCTATGACATAATGGCAAGCCTAAAGAGAAGCAGCACAAAAAAAATAAAAAAACATTCAAATTGCTCTGGGACTTACAGAGAAAAAAAGGAGTCAGAGAGTCTAATTCTACCCTGGTGTTTGTGTTGAGTGAAACTCCTTACTGTTCAATTTAGGCTGCATTGATTACATGAGCAATCACAGTGTGAGACTATATGAGAGCGGAACAAATATGAAGACATTTTTTAAATCAGTTTTTGTTTGTGTGGCATGTTTTCTCTTCATTCGTATGCGCGGTGCTGGATTCCAGTTAGGACGCAGAATGCAATCTCCTCCGCCTTTACCAGAATCCTAAAATCACATTTGTATGAGATTGAAAAAGTGGGACGTACCCCCCCCATCCTCCTCCTACCGCTTCTTTCTTTTGCAAGTTTACTTCTAATGATATCATAATAACTTCCCAGTTTCCCCAAGTTATTACATTCCTCGTGTTGCCTTCTATGACAAAAGAAAGCAAAAGGAATGAAAACAAGATGCAGCCTCTGTAAGCACTTCCATCATTTTCAGTGAAGTGTGAAGAAAAGGTGATAAAATGCAGACTCTGCACCGATGCTGGTATCACAAAAAAAAAAAAAAAAAAATCCAACACATTGATTGCTTCTGTCTGGGATAATAGCCCTGATATGCTGACAAAACAAACAAAAACTTTTTTTTTCAGATGGAGTTCTACGTCTGCAACTTTGCATGTGAAGTTGGGCGTCGACCAAAAAGAAGATACAGTGGATAAACCTTTGATCAAAGTTTGACATATTTGAAAGTCCTGTGATAAGATGCCTCTGTATGAAACTGTATCGATTTGAGATAAACAAAAATACCTTATGACTCCGTCCAAGTATTCTCATAGTCTACACATGTTCAACTATCCACCGTAGGTAAGTATTTGTATGTTATGTTTATTTGATCATATATACATGTATTTTTTATATATTATATAATATATAATATTATATTTAATTCAAATAATTTTCATCGTGAGACAATTCGACTCGCATTTTTTAAGTAATCACAAATTCTACAATAAATACTTCAAATTAATATATAGGTACATCATTGTCTGGGCTTAGCATAAATATATATATATATATATATATTTATATTTTCTAGAGTAAAAAAATCCATGGACGAGTTTAGCACCTATCTCTACTTTTTAGTCCTTGCCAGTCCAGCAATCTTAGCCCCGCCCCAAAAGCTCAATTGGTTAAGATGCAGATGAGATGGCAAAACCAAACCAATAGTTAATCTGTGTTCTGAGCCAGTAAGTAATAAGAACTACAACAGCAAGTAAAACTGCATTAATGCATTATTAAATAATTGTCAGAGGTGATTAATCGACGCTTTGACAAAATGATGTTGCACTGACTTGTTCTTCTGACACAATACACACAACAACACCGTCCTATAGGTGTTTAGTTTGATGCATTTCATTCCCTGTTAAACAAAAGTACCTGCTTCTACGGCCTTCACTGTGATATTGTGCCAGCCCGCTATTTCACGATCCAGAATCTTCCCCAGTGTGATTACTCCAGAATCTGGATCAATATGGAAGATCATCTCCTGGTCTGTGGTTCGATCGATGGAGAATCTGTTAGAATAGAGGCAAAAAAAGTAGATAAGGACCTGCTGTGG